GATATAGATATAGATATAGATATAGATATAGATATAGATATAGATATAAATTTAGATATTTTGTATCATATGTATGTTATATATAAATATATATATATATATATGTGTGTGTGTGTGTATGTATGTATGTATGTATGTAAGTGTGTGTGTTTGTATGTATGTATTATATTTATATGTATTATTATAATATTTGTGAGTGAGTGAGTGAGTGTGTGTGTGTGTGTGTATGTACATTGGAGGGGTTCTTCTAGTGTTACCGGTTTGCTGTCAGTGTGCTGATGTTTTGCTCTCGTTGCAATCACACCCGAGCAACCCCGGTCAAATCTTTCAGAGTTACATCAATCAAATTTACACATACCATAACACGCCTTCTGTTCATAGAGGCCTAAACGCACACATTCGCAAGTTGTTGTTTCTCTTCTCTGGTAAGTATTCGCCACCAGTTGTCGCCGTCTTGTCGTACCACACACAATCTCATATTTCTCTTGCACTTCTGTAAGTACTCAGCCTTCGCTTGTCATTGTCATCTACTGTGGTAGGGTGGATCTCCTCTGTTAAGACCAAAGTACTGCACAGCGAAGATGGACCGGTTTACGCACTCGCGTGGCGCGGGCGCTACATCGTGTGGGCGTGTGATAAGGTACTTGTGCGAGTTCTGTTGGTGTGCTGTATATGTACATATGTACATAAAGAAGTATGTGTTGATATGCGATTGCATGTTGTGCTTTCTGTACTCTTGTATATAAGCACAGACTCATGCAGGTGAGTACACAGGTGCGGTGGAACAGAATACACAGTGCCCCATGCGCTGCTTGACTCTTTTGGGCTTTTCAGTGGAATTGCTCTCTATTAGTCACTATCGACACGCGTAAATCCCGATGGTCCCGAAGGTTGCTAGTCTCTTCATATGCATTCTTCGTTTGAGTCTGCATTTTACAATATACTTACACCATTCTAACGCACATATGCACATATTCTACTTCCTGTAGCTATACGTATTCTGCAGCCATGAATAACTCTCACCTTCTTGCGCAGGGCATCATGGTGTGGGATGTACAGGCTCATAGACGTATTACTCTAATTCGGAGACCAAAGGACTCACCCCCCCCGGACGCATTCAAGTAGGTCATGACATATTTCAACATCAAATGTGGCGCACGTTCAAGTTGTGGCGTGCACTGGTGTAAGGTTTCACATGTATAGATGCAATCTCGCTTCATTCACCAAGTATGGCGTGAGGTTGGCGTGGTTTATGGTGTGCACTGGTATAAGGCTTGCATGTCCCGATGCAGATCTCGCTTCACTCTCCAAACATGGTGTACGTTGACATGATTTAGGGCATGTATGTCTGTGGGTCATAGTGTGACGGTTGGTGGCAAAATTATCGTCTAGATATGCCTCTATCGTATGAGCGGCCATGAACTTTGCATGTGTTTACGCACCCTTTAAGCACCAAGTCCGGACACATAGCACTGACAGATACAGTACAAGTATATTGCGATGCGTACATGTATACACCACTTTTCATCAAACATCTATATTCTAAAGACACACCTTTGACCCTTCAAGTATTTCTATTTGTATTTTCTGCAGCTGTTCATTATGTTGGCGAGACGACCACACATTTGTCATCGGATGGGCCGACTCTATCCGCGTGGCTGCCATCAAGGCCAAAGTTACGGGCGATAGCAGGTAGGTGCGCAGGCGTAGGTACGTATTGTGCTGTAAAAAGGTTGGCAGTCTGGTGGCTATTAGTATGTACGTAGGTAGGCGTTAGTTTAGAATCAAGTGCGTATTTGTGTATAGGTGGGTAGGCATTAGTATGTAAACAGGTGAGTATTAGTTTGTAGGTAGGTAGGCATTCGTTTAGAAACAAGTGAGTATTAGTGTACAGGTGGGTAGGTATTAGTATGTAAACAGGTGGCTATTAGTATGTAGATAGGTTGGTATTAGTATGTAAATTGGTGGTCATTTTCATGTGTGTAGGTAGGTTCCTTCTTGTATGTGGTTGGGTACTTGTTGATATGTAGTTTGTTGTTCGTTGATGTGTAGGTAGGTAGCTACCGATATGCGAATAGGTACTTATTGACAGGTAGGTATGCATTTATTGGTATACAGATAAGCTTCGCTTCACCATCGTCCGCCAAGCTCATTCTGTCACGTGTTCCATTAAACACAGGGCAACCACTGGTATGTTTGTGGAGATCATCGGCATGTTCCGTACCGAGTACTGGGTGTGTGGTGTGGCCCCTTATTTGTCAGACAGCCTAGTGGTGCTGGCGTATATACCTGAGGAGGAGGTGGATCCTAGTGAGGACAATGACGAGGGGGTTATAGAGGGAGACGTGCTGGTAAGATATCTGTATATTTGAACTCTTGGGAAAAACGCGGATTTAAATTGTGTAGCGTATATGATAGCATTATAATTCTGATCACTATACATGCTATATGTGTATTTTTTAGAGTATCTCTTCACTTGCGTACTGTCACTGATGGACATGAACAAGGAGAAAGCATACACTAGAGCTGACAGTCATACTGGTGGTCTGAGATAAACTGGAGCGAATTGCTGTGATGTATTGGTACAATCACATGTAGTAGCTACAGACGCATGAGTATTTGATCCAGGCTAAAGTTTTATTATGCCAGCATAACCAATGTAGACAAATTTTGACCAAAATTATACGTGCGGAAAGGAATATCAGAACGGGTATATATTAAAACTCGACCATTTACATGTTATAAATACAGTGTATGTGTGAGTGTATTGTCATGTGTATGTGTATACATGCATATACACGCATGAAGATGTGTACGTAGTTCCCCCGTGCACCAACAAAGCAACATGATGGACCCGAAGCGCGCCTATTCACTGTTCTTTCCCATGAAGTACGAAGCACCTCGAATTTTCACGATATTGTCTTCTAAAATAGCACGTTTGCACAAGTCAAGCTCTTCATGCTATTGACTGATACTTTTTTATCTGGTCTACCTTTAATATGTACATCTGTCTTCGTGGGCAACATATCTTAAGCCATGGATGGATGATAGTCGTTGTAGTCTAATAGTCTTGTATTTAGTCTACCTTTCTCGTGTGCGTGCATCCGACTTCGTAGACAGCACATGATAAGCTATGTATGATTGTCTTTGAGACTGAATATTATCTAGTTTACCTTTCCCTGTATGTACGCTTGTGTTTGTAGACTAACAATCCTTTATCTACTTTACCTTTCCCTTGTAGCAACACGGTACTGCGCGGAAGCCCGAGCTAGTGATCACAAGTCTGAGCAACGAAGAGACGTCCTCGGACGCACTCTCCATAGTAAACTACGAACAATACATTGCCAATGACTACCATATGGCCTTTTTAGGTATGTATGTGGGTAACACGTGCCGCGCGCTCGCACAGAGTCGTTTATGTATGAGTGTGTGAGTGACGTGCACTTGTTCGGGATGATCACAAGTCTGGGCGACAAAGTGACGTCCTCCGTCGGACTCTCCGTAGTGACAAACTTCTTCTTTAAATGGTATCATGTGTTTTTATTCACAAATAGCGATCAACTTCACATGATCATGCATGCATTGATAAAAAGTCATTACGTTAAGGTATACGCAACTTTCACTCTCACACATGTACAAGCACAGCCGTCGTAGATCGCTAGATGCCACATGCTACCTCGGCATAAGTACCTGATCTGCATGAAACTGTATGCGTGAACACACTTCTATATTTACCCCTCACGTCATGCTGTACTACATATCTAATTAGCATTAATGTTGCATTACTAGTATCAGCGGGACTAGGAACCTTCTTTTTTATCTGAATGTCTCGTACAGAATTGCATATTTTATTGTTAAAACACCTTAATTGTTTTTCCTTGCCTGCACAGAGGAAGAGCACATATATTTTGTGGTGTCGCCGAAGGACATAGTGGTTGCTAGGCAACGAGACAGCGATGACCACGTGTCATGGCTGCTGGACCACGAGTATGTGGCCTCGTGTGTGGAGCGTGTCTTTGTTTGTATCGTATATTGCTAGTGTGCGTATGACTATATCTATTGTGTACAGGTTTTTAAATCTCTTATGTATGGATGTCTATCTTTAACATACACATGTTCTTTTTTTATGCTGCTCTCATGCATGCACGTCTTTGTGTGCATTTTTATTCTACGGCACGTATGCATGCAAATCTGTAAATAGTGCGCCCATGGGTTTCTTTTGAATTAACATGCATGTTTGTACTGTACACGTGCTATTATCTATATGTGCGTGTACGAACGTAGGATTATCCCACCTGCGCGCATTTGTATTACCTGTGGTAGTAGCAATGAATTCCGCATTCCGCTAATCTACGTGTGTGTGTAAAGCTGGCACGTATCATCACACCATTGTATCCTGAGTGTAGAGCCGGCAGTTTAGTCTCTGTTGTGGGGTTCGACTGACACATATAGATATATATATATGTGTGTGTGTGTGTGGGTGGGTGGGTGGTGTGTTGTGTGTGTGTGTGTTGTATGTCTATGTGTATATGTATGTGTATGTGTATGTGTATGTGTATGTGTATGTGTATGTGTATGTGTATGTGTATGTGTGTGTGTGTATGCGTGTGTGTGTGTGTGTGTGTGTGTGTGTG